TCCATCCAGGCAATTATTATTATCACTATAATTATTATTATTATTCCATCTAAGCATTCATAATAATGACAATAATGATAATTAAAGTTCGTTCCAAGATATACTATCACTGTGGATGGGTGATAGTGATAAAAGTTGTGATCTAGAAACTGATACGACTCAACAGGTAGATCAGAGCAAAGAATCGAGTGATTACGAAAAGGAACAAGAGGCTTTACTTGATAAACAGGTGAGTGATATATTGTCATTAATAAATCTGTCATTAATAATAAATAATCACAAGTTTATGAAACTGCAGATCATAATGGACGAGGTTTTCATACTATCGTGGCAATCGCACGTGCAGTTTAATCTTCCGGTTCTTATTACTGAGGAGGTATTACCCTTAATTGATCTCATAATATTACCATAAATGAACACAAAAGTGCAGCTTTTACAGTTACTTCGAAACGCCTTATATTTCTATCTGAACTGATACGATTTTGAAATATATAACATACTTATAATAACAACCACAAAGCGTGATGCTTAATGAGATTGTTACGTGATGAAGATAATTAAAGATACTCGATGTATTTATCCGTTATCTATCCGAATCACCGAATATGGATCTGAAGGCAGCACGAGCGTTGAAACGAATCGCACGTTCTGAGAATATGATCGAACGTTTCATATTGTTACAGTTTCATACTCGTGTTCTGCACACCTTATCCAGAATTAACTGTCGACTGAACAGGTAGATTGAGTTTGTTGGCTTTATTATCAACTGAATGACTATCATATTTTAAAAAACAGATACATTGAACGTTGTGAATATTGCTGGGAACGGGCTGAGTATGCAGACGAGATTCTACGTGAATTTGCGTTACATGTCGATTCACCGCTGGGATCTGCTCTCATCAAGGATTATTTCAAATCATCGAACGTCATCCATCGGGTCAAAACATCCATCATGCTTGTGCAGCTTATTCGGTCATTTATTCATATTATTATTGCTATTATTATTATT